AGTTGCATTTTTTTTTTTTTTGGAAAGGGAGTGTTTTCCCATGCCCAGTATTTATATCAATACATATATTTGCAAGACCACTTTAAAATGTAGTTGCATTTTTTTTTTTTTTGGAAAGGGAGTGTTTTCCCATGCCCAGTATTAACTTCTCAACTAAACTTTTAAAAATTCACTATGATAATGCATATAGCAATAAGTTAAATGGACATACAGTACTCCATTTCAAATCATTTTTTCCTTTTCAATTTTTAGGGCATGCAGATTATTCCACTGCTGTCATCAGTGCTCCATGATGAATCTCAGTGGGAGAAACCTCATGAATTCTATCCTGAGCATTTTCTTGATTCTGAGGGAAAATTTCTGAAAAAAGATGCATTCCTGCCCTTCTCTGCAGGTAGGATTCTCTCATGTGTGAGCCTGTATCCAAGAATAGGCAGCCCTTAACACCTTGTTTGAAAAGAAAACAGTTGATAAAAGTTCAATGACATAGATGTTAATTTAACAGAGTTTAACCTAGTGGACATTTGTGGCCAGACATTACCCCTCATTGACTGACTAGCCTGTTGTTTCCAAACTGTCTGGAGAACCATCAACTCTGTGCATCAGTTCCTGTTCTTCCTACTACATTGGCCTCAGCACCTCTATATTTTGGCAATCCAGGATGAATCTTGCCTTCAGCCTTCCTGGCTGACTTTGGCCCTGAGACAGCTGCAGGCTTTGGGGATTCTTAGCTTGACCCTGTAAGTAAATCGGTTTCTTGTTAGGTCATAGCAGTGTAGCAGAGCATAAAACACAATAAAGCAAAGCAAAATAAAATAAGATAATAGAAAGAGTGTTAGACATAAGTAAATTGAGTCAAGACAAAACCAGGGCTCCCATTAAAAAGCTAAAAAACTATTTCTAAATGACAACAAAGGAAAAGTAGCAACTCATTTCTAACGCTTTGAAAGGTACCTGAAAGAATCTAATTCAATCATTGAATTCACCTACTATGGGTAGTTTGGCCCTGATTTCATTATAACTGAGCAGTGGAAGACATAGTGAGTAACGTCCTCCCCTTGACTGACAATGCAGGGACAGAGACGCTGTTCAGCTTACCAAATCTCCCATCAAGCT